CAGTGGCCTCCTCCTTCTTGGTCTGCGTCGCCTCCTGCGCGAGCAGGGACTTCATGCTCTCGGAGATGCGCTGGCGCTTCTTCACGTCCCTGAGCTGGTGCAGTCAACACACGTCACCAGGCATCACCAGGTAAGCAATGCATGTCCAGTACGACCCACAGCACGCTACGACAAGTCGTCTAATTCGGATCTTTGCAGCCACCGCACGGTCTTTGGAGACATGTCGAATGCACAAAACCTCCACACCACCCTTCAATAACGAAAGCAACTCTTCACCAAGCCCCATAACATCTGCTCGCATATCCTCTGCCATGCAGCCTGGAGGTTCGCTGCGGCACCTCTTATGCAGACTGTCAGAAAGGAAGAAACTTGTGCGGCGTGGCAACAGCTTACAGCTGGCGGCCTTGTTGTAGTGGATCTGCTCGAACTCGCTCTTCTCGTAGTTGAAGACGTGCGGCATTGCGACGGCTGTTCGCTGGAGGGCTAATGCTCTTATCGCCAGCCTTGAAAAAAGATTCGGACAAGCAGGCTCCTCGCACGGACCATCAGTGTGAATGTACATGACATAAAGCCATGCTAGACAGTCCGATTGATACGATGCTGTACTAGCGGTTCCAGCGCAGCCTCACCAAGGCAGCTGCCATTGAGAAGAGTTGGATGCAGTGTGGTGATAGAACAGCTTACCCTGGGAGGACCTTGCTGACACACGCTGCTTTCAAGCTGCGCTCGCTTGTCGCAAGCTCCCTGCGTTTGGATCGTCCACCCCCGCCATTCATCTCCGTCGGTTGCCTGTAAAGACATTGTCTGCCCTCCCTCTTCCCCTGGAAGCTTCGTCTTTGAGTTGTCAGTTGGCCTTGCCCGGGGCCAGCAGTGACTGATCCGCCGGACTTTGGGAGGATAGCTTCGGTGCCGGCTCGCTCTCTGTCGGCTCCTGGCTTCTGATTCTGAAGCTCCCTTTCTGCAAGAAGCTCAGAAGTCGTAGCTCGCAGCCTTGTAGCCTGCAAGGGGCGATCCGCCTGCGTGACCTGAACTTTCAGCGATCTGGTCTACCGGTCGGTCACGAACCCTGGGCACCCCTACCAGGAGCTCCGCCGAAATCCAGCGAAGCTGCCGAACCTTCCCACATGCACCATGCCCATGCCTATGTGCGATCGTCCTGTGCTGACATCCTGAGATGGATGCTCCACGCCATTGGTGTCTTGAACTCCTAATTTCATAATGTGGCGGCATGTTCGGGACGGGGAAGCGCAGCAGTTCCGACACTGTAAGCCCTGGGCGGTTGCCGAAGGGCTGCTGGAAGGAAGCCCAGGGGATGCAGCGCCTTCGGCGGCAAGGAGCGTAAAGCAGGACTTCTGCAAAGGTCCATGCGAAATCCGGCGCCTGCATCATGAGAAGGGGACCGACGGGGAGTGCCTCATCCAACATACCGGCAGACCCCAAGTTCACATTGCTTGGAGCTTTCCTACCAAAGCTGTTTCACAACTTTGCCCATAGACTGACATTGACATCTACGTTCACAGGCTTTGGATTTCGCGTATCAACGTACAAACGTGGCACTTCCGCACGCTAGCACGAAAAGCAAGGGTGCCTCTCAAGCGATGTCGTGCGACCGCCGCTTTGATTTCGAGGGGACTGGATGACGTTCGCAAGAAGTGAAAGCGAGGCTGCGAAAGGAAATGAACAGTGTGCAGGAAGCTATAAAAACCAATGGAATTGGGGCAGCTGCGAATGCCACATTGCGAAGGCTCTCCAAAGGTGTGTGTGCGGTGGTGTGCGTGTGTTGGCCACTAGGCCATGCCTACTTTACGTTGCTGCGTTGGACGCCCTCCCTCATCTCGCATCTCCACTTTGATTTCGCAAACTAGAAGCCACAGAAGCGACTGAAAAACAGATTCTGGAGCCGAAGAGAGCGATGGGAAGTGCTCCAGAATGCAACTTGCAGAGATCGCAAAATCTGCGTCTTCGGCGACTCCATTCTTCTCTCCGATCTGTTTTAGTGCAGAGAAGACAGACCAGCTTCCTAAGACTCCATTTCTTCGAACGCAGAGTCTCAACTCTCTCGATGAAAAGAGTGGGCGCTTAGGTGGCTAAGCTAGCAGAGTTTCAATCGGGGGTCGGCGCAGTTCGATGGTTATTCCCAAAGTGTGAGTCACTTGCGTCGCGCTTGCTTGAGCTGATTCTGGGGATGCAGGCCGAACTGGTGAGTTGGAAGAAGCGAACTGAGCATTTGTTGATCCCCCTTCTTCCGTGGGCTCCCCTTCGGCTGGCAAGGTTTCTCTGTTCCTGCTTACGGGAAAAATGTATCATGTGATCTGCTTCTGTTGTTGCCGGTTGTGCCAACACTCTGCCACTCAAATGCTCCACCTCCACCTGCCCCATCTACTGGCGTCTCGCTGCTGGTCGGCCTTCACTTCGCATTGGAACGTGCCCTACATGGAGGCTTTGACAGATCTGTGAAGCTTTCCCTTCTGCAGTCGGGGTCTCTACGTATGTCTAGATCACAGGATATCACAGGAAACGGTTTCGAGCTCGTGCGCGTCTGAGGCACCAGCCCAATGGCGACTCCAGCTGCGAACTCACACTCGGACCTGGTAAAGGCGAAGGCGCTGCGGGTTCAAGCAGCTTCGATCGTGCAACAATGCTTCTTCTCTTGCCTCCGTGGCAGGGGTAGTCATCAGAATTTCTAGACTCCAGTCTAAGATTGCGTGGAATAGTATGTCATCCAGCGAGGCAACAGCTTGACTTCCGCGATCCCGGCAGGCTTTTCTCACAGAGCCAAACCTCCTTTGGAGGGCATCTAGTCACTAGTCGGGGAGCAGTCGGAGGGCCCACGTGCAAAGCTTGATCATTCGGCTGAATGCGGCTCCTTAAGTTCAGTTTTAAAACCGACCTGCTTTCAGCTTTGCCAGCAGGTCCTCTGCCATGCAGGTTGTGCATTAATCTAGACACCTCGGAAGATGCAAATCCCTTCCGGGACTCTCAGCATTTCCCGAGGTTGTGAAGAGCGGCAGATGTCCGCGAGGACGTTGCCCAAAGATGGAAGATGATCCCAGAGACTTCAGACCGTGAAGACCAAAGCACTTTGTCTTGGGGGCTTCCTGAGATGCTCGCAACACGACTCAGCGAAGCCCAATTGCACCGCACAATCTCCGCTCTGACAAGTCGCAGGGTATGACGGGTGTGTCACATTCGTTTCTTTTGAACATCACTGTGCTCTGTTTTGTGAACGGACACGGCCGCTGGTCGGACGAACAAGCCGCCTTTGCATGATTACTCTATACTGGCGCGCAGCATGTTTCTCGCACACGTCTTCCCTTGACATACAGACATGTTCACTTCAGATCACCCTGTCAAGCGGAAAAGGCCTGTCCACCAGGCGTGTCGCAACAAGACATTAAAGCCGTTCTGCGCGCGTACCGAGCATTTGCAGACCAATTCGATTCGAAAGTTAAGCGACCTGATCAACTCCCTGTGACTGAACCCTGGACACGTTCTCGTCGCAGTCCAACCGCAACAGCAGATTCCGCATCAGCATCTTAAAACATACCCGTCTTGACTTTCCTCTCCGTTCTGTTGTGTTGCTTGAAAGGTGATGGGCAGTCTTGTAGCCCCAGCAGAACAGCTCTGCCGCTTGCACGTCCAGCCCACATCTAATATCCATTCCTTGTGCATGCACCTTCCAGACCAACTCTGCAGGCCATCAATCCCCAATCAGCTGCGTTAACATCTTTGCTCAGCCTGTAGGTGCCGTAGAAGCCCTTCTACTCGACTTCATGGTGAGGCGAGCTGCGTGTCCACCGAAGCCGGAGGAGTCTCAACGTGAGAAGGCCTCGGGAAGTTCAATCGAGCGTGGCTCCCATGCTTGCGGAGCTTGGGGCCGCCAGGACCCCGCTAGGAGCTGCACAAAGGGGCGTGGAAAAACAGGAGCACCAGGGCGGCAGCCTCCGGTGGCACCTGCCGCTTCGGGGCCAAGGATTTCAATGGGGACTCTTCCTGAGAATCGATCCTCCTTCTGGTTGATGGCTTGGGCCAGCCTTTCCAGCCACGCTCGAAGACGCGCCTCGGGAGATGCGACTTGTCGCTCCTTCTTCCTCCCTCTCCCTGAGACGTCTCAGGCATAGGCCGTTGTGCCGGGAAGTCCACCGTGCCTGGACGTGACGACTTCTCTTGTTCTTGCACTCACTTGAAGCAGCATTTTGTGACAGCACTGGGCAAGCTCAAGTCCCTTCGATTCGGGGGGTCAGCTTCTTTTGGAGGATGGTTCACAGCGAGCTTCCAGCAGTCACCACCAAGCTTTAGGTCTGAGGAATGTCACAACATGTGATCTTTCCATGAGTGTCTGTCTTTGCATCTTCACCCCTGCCCGCTCTCCCGGCCGTGACCTGACGACAAAGCACATGCTTGCCAAGGACAGCTGCGCTAGTGCTCCCGCAACTCGGGAGGCTTGGGCGCTGATTGTCTGGTATCTCGCTCTCCGGCGGCACTGTTGGGGTATGAAGTCGGCAGAAAACGACGATAGCAAAACGCAAACAAACAGCAGGAGCTCTCAAGATCTCTGAAGCACATGTCAGGCAGCTCGCCTTGCAAAGGGAGTCTCTCCGAAAACCTTGGCATAGAAATCCTCCTGGCACCAGGCTGCATCAAGCCTGACGACTCGGGAAAGAATGATGCCAGACACCACTACCTCCATGAAGTACTTCATTCGGTCGTGGAGATCAGTTCGCAAATGATGAAGTCTGCGAGGTGCCTTCACACGTGCTGGGCAGATGAGATGCCATCAAGACGTGCTGACTTGCTCTTGCCACAGACATGCATTGCTCCTTGAAAGCACGCTGGCAAACTTGGCTCTTCTCGCCCCGAGCTCTTGCTCTGGCCTTCCACTCCAAGAGCTCTGCAGGCCCCGTGCCGTCCTCAGCATCCCACAGCCCCGAGATGAAGTTACGCAAGATCCCGAGGCAGGCACTTCCCCACCAGGCACGAACCGAAGGCTGCACCTTCCCCGATCTTCACGGTTCTAGGTTTGATGATGCACGCGTGACATTTGCAATCCGAGAACTTGGCTGCACAAGGTACCAGGTGTTTCCGGCCTGTGCGAAGATGATAGATGCGCATTCGAACGTGATGCTTGTGGAAGGTCGAAGTGTATTGCATACAGGTGCCTGCTCCACGTGCTCGTCGACCGACATCTGGATGGAAGGCATGGGATGCCCCTGAGGTCAGGTCCAGAAGACATCCACCAAAAACCTCGCTCCAGATCTGCCTTAGGCATCCCAACCTCAAGTCCCTCAAGCCGAACCTGCCGGAACTGCCTGCATGGAAAACACTAAGCCTGGGACCCTTGCAAAATTCAGTTGGACTTTGATTGTAGAACGGCACTTCTGCTCGAGGCTTCAGTGGGTCATATATACGGATACGCCAAGAGTGTCGCAAACACAGTCTGTGCATGTCTGTGCGCCCTGCCTTGTCCCAGTTGTGCTTGTCCCTCGGCATAAACTCCGTGCAAATCTGCGGATTGACTGCGAGCGGGGCTTCTGGCTGATCTCCGCACAACTTGAGTCGGCGCAACAGGCCGGGTTCCAAAAAGGCAATCGAGGCTCGTTGCTTTGTAGCCGTAGACCGACAGGAAGGGCACCTCCTTGGGTTGATGGCTCTCACGGAGAAAACCGACAGTGCTGTTAACAGTTTGATACACCCGCCTATTTCGGCCCGTTCCAACCCGACATTGACTGTGCAGGTAGCCGGAATTGAATGATGTTGGCTACAGAGAGCGGTGAAAGGCCG